AAGTGAAAACCTATGCTTATCGATTTCGCCTACAAAGTTTCACTGGCTTTCGCTCACGGCTTGGAGAGTATCTCAATCATTATTTGCATTATTGGTTAGTATTCTATCGCATGCCTAACTCTTTATATTTATATATGTCACATGCCGTATGATAATCTTAATCCCCCCTATATTTCATCTAAAACCCTAGATTTATACGCAATTGGACGACAAGGCTGTGTTGTTGCTCAGAGTAGTACGCAGATGGATTAATGTAGGTTTAGTTTCAGGTTATATATTGCAAGTCTTGGCTCATATGAGAAGGCAGTGTGACTTGAACAATCTGAAGTGTAAGGTGAATAAATATCTGCTTCTTTGTTTGTAGGTATATGAGATTCAAAATTGATTCAATCTGACATTCAAAAAGATTATAAAAGCACAATGATAAAAGCTACAAAGTTGGATCGGTTCATTCATAGAAGGAAGGAAATAAAGTTTTTTCAATTTTCAGTAATGCCCACTCACCTATGTACCTATGTTTCTATTTTGCAGGTGAACAAGTCAATAAGTGAAACTTGAAATAAAAAAAGATTGTCTTTTTAATAGCTTTAATGGTAGATAACTCATACAGTGAATTTATCTCAATTTACACAGGGTCTAGAAACAGGATTAAAACAAGTTTCTATGATTTTTTTGTCAAAATATTGCCTTTAGCAGGGTATTGATTAACCATTTTTATCAAAATCATTTTTTTTTTCAAAACAAAATGGCAGATTCTGACATGTAAAGCAAGCTTCTATGATTTTTGTGTTAAAATATTTCCTTTAGCAAGGTCTTGATTACAACAAGTTTATGTGCTTTTTTGGTTAGAATACTGGCTTTAGCAGGGTCTTGATTAAAACTATATTTCCATAGTTGCTATGTCATCTAATGATGTTTTTCAATTTGAAGGAAACAAAGGTAAGGGTAACATACTAACTTAGGATAAAAAAAAGGGTCATCAAGACTCCACCAATAATTAATAAGAATTTATAGATTTTTAAGGAAAATTAATCATCTTTTTTAATTAATGTTTTCTCTTTTTATCATCTTTTCCTTGAAGATTATTTTATGGCCCCTGAAATTTTGTAACACCAGAGATATGATGTCATATTATTATCATTTCTTTTGATCATCTTTGCAGTGATATTACACAAGGTAATATCATTTCTTTTTATCATCATTGTGATGATCGCTTCGAGGTAGCAATAGCTGAATGCATAAAAACTTGTGTTAGCATGACTGTCACCGTTTATATTGACAAAACAATGCATATTAACTTCTATGATGATACTCTGGTTTGACTAATCCTAATCACAAATCCAAAATGGGAGACACGATGTAATGGAACAAGTAAGGGGTTATGATTGAGCAATGTGTTGTCCACTTTGGCAGTGCAAAGAAATTGGAGGTTTGTGCTTGATGTTACTGGAAGGGTGAAACTCAGGACTGTAAGGTCTATAGTGGAGTTGGTAATGTGGAAGATGTCTGAAAACCTGAAAGCAAGTGTTGATGTGGTCAAACAAGAAGTTTTCCACAGAGGAACTTTGGTATGAGATACATTTGTGCCAAATCATCTGCTATTTTTGCTATGTGCTTTGCATCGGTTTTGCATGTGATTGGTAGTACCCATACTATGTTGGAAGCCCATATTTGTTCTGATCCATATGTACTGTTAATGAGACGAGCAACACTAGATGAACTTGCATTTGTTAAGTTCTTATGTGCGTGTCTCTACTCCGTATTTATATGTACACAAGGCAATGCTCACCTCAGATCAGCAAAAGCATACTGATAGTCATCTTATAAAGAATTCAATTGTGGAATTGGGTCATCAGTTGCTACAAATATGTTATTTCAATTTGTGGATATAATAGTGAATAATCACAATAATCCAATGATAAATTGTGACAAGAAAGGAAAGTTAAGTATTAAGAATGCCTCTGCAAGTTTACCTTTAACAACTTTATTGACCTGTCATAATATCTTGATGGTTCTTTTTTGCATATTAAAACATAAATTAGATAACAATATACATTTATGTGGTTTTTAAGAATTATTCAAGATGTAACCTTTATAAAAATACAGGCTTAATTACCAAATTGGTAAAAAAAAAAGAGTCATTGGACAGATTGGTAAAAAAAATTGAGACATATTGGAAAAAAAAAGCCTTAGTGACAAATTGGTCAATTTCTTGTGAATGATAAACTTTTGATCCTTGACTTTAGAATTCTCGATATTTCATATTCAAGTATTTTGAAATTCACATTTTCGGTCCTTTTACTTTGATTTCGTCATCAAAAGTGGAAGTCTAAAAATGTCAACGACTGTGTTTGATAATAGCATTTATGTGTAGCTAATAGCCGGTTGAATTATCATATTGCACTTGGAGCACATGGTTAGGGTCGGCCCTGATTGTTGTAGTAACCTTTTCGGTTTTAATGAATATTGTATTGTTGTTTTATTTTGACATTTGACATGTGTAAATACGAAGTATATCATTGTCTTACCATTTAAAATTGATATGTTTTTTCTAAAATTTAACTTCACATTCTGGAGTAGTCATGACTATTTAATTTTTTTTAACTAAAATATTTGGGAGTAATTTATGCTATCATTGAACTTATCATAAAAAAATCATTAAACTTCAGACATTTTACGACGTCACAACTACTACCCCAACTTTAAAGGGATGTTTTTCGGATGATGGGAAGGACATATACTATCATAGTTTTTGTATTCTTTTAATTGTACTTCTAAAAATAAATCACTTTTGTAATTTTTTTACCCCGTGCAACGCACGGGTGAAAGACTAGTTTATTTTAAAGTGATATAATTTTTTTATTTATACTTCGATGGTTACAGAAAATATATCAAAATTCATAACTTTTTATTATCTTTCATATGACACCAATATTGCATATATCTATAGATAATACATCTATCTATAAATAATACATTTGAGAGATACAATTAGGGAAAGTTTGCCATGTGTCATCTTCTAAGCAAATTTAGCATACTATTTATATAATTCCGTAACGTTAGTAAGTAATTTATGTTAGAGTAGAACTAATCTTACGTTAATTCTAAGCTGTCTTAGAATCCTACGTAATTAAAACTTTAATTTCTTAATTCAAAAACTAAAATCTCATATTTATTTTAAAGTGATATAATTTTTTTATTTGTACTTCGATTGTTACATAAAATATATCAAAATTCATAACTTTTTATTGTCTTTCATATGATACAATTATTGCATTTTTTTTTACCCCGGAAGGTAAACCACCAAAATCAGTGGGGCATATGCCGGGGGACATATGCCGATGTTTTATTCGGATAAAGGATGATTACAAGAGAGGGGGACCAAACCAAAACCTCCCAAAATATTTCATTAATTTCTAAAAGAAGGAATTCCATAGAAATCAGCCCAATAGGCCCTTTTAACAAAAATAGGAAGCTGATTCAACATTCTATAATTTGTAACCTGATCCACCACTTCCTGGGCCAAATAATGAGCAGCCCAATTTCCCTCCCTGTTCGTATGTCCAAAGCAAAGCACTTTCCTAAATCGAAGATCTGCTATTGACTGAAGTTCACTCGCCCACTGAAACGCACGGAAACGCCTGGGGGTGGGAGTTTCCCCGTATTGGAAACGTTGGAACGTTTCCGAGCGTGGGAAACGTCAAAAACGCGTACCTGGGCCGTTTCTTAATTTAGGGAAATTCGGAAACGCGTTTCCCCCAAAAAAAACACAGTTCTGATAAAAAAAAATAGGGCCGTTTTACATTCCAGCGAACGGGAAGCCCCAAAACTAAAATATTAGTGTTAGTAGAAGTCAAACCAATCATCTTCACTCTTCAACCCTACGCATAGCACTCATAGCAGTCATCACTTCGTCGCCGGCTTCAGCAGGGTTCGCCGGCTTCAGCAGAGGTCGTCACCTGCCGCAGAGGTCGTCGTTCAGGTAACTTTCAGATACTTTGAAATAGTTCCCCTTATCCCCTTCTTTCGTCGTTTTGAGCAGGTGGCTCGTCTTGTACGTCGTTGGCTATATTGTTCTGAGCTTGTAAGATTAATGATTTTTTCTGTAAATATAGGCTTCAATCCCCAGTTCGTAGTCAGTAGCCACCAGTCCCATATTTATTGTGTTTAGAGAGAAATAAGTGTTTTAGGCGAATTTTTCCGTCTGAAGAGCGTGTTAAGGCTATTGATGAATACGCTAATTTCTCTTTGAAGATTGGTCCGTTTAGCGACCCAGATTGTATTGCTGCTATGTGTGATACGGATCCTAGAAAGTGGTGGGCAGTGTATGGATCAGGTGCACAATTACTCCAAAAATTGGCGTTTAAAGTGCTTGGGCAACCTAGCTCTTCATCCTGTTGTGAACGAAATTGGAGTACTTATTCTTTTATCCATTCACTACGACGGAACAAATTAAATCCGAAGCGTGCAGAAGATTTGGTGTTCATTCACAATAATCTACGCTTACTTTCAAGAAATTCTGCCCAGTATGAAGATGAGAACACTAAGATGTGGGATGTTGGTGGAGATCAATTTGCAAGCTTGGAAGATGTTGGTGTTCTTGAGTTCGCAAATCTATCACTGGATGAACCGGATCTTGAACGTGTTTTTTTTAATGAAGATGTTGATCCCGTGGAAGATGGCTCCACTGCAACTTAATTTGTTTTTATGGATGTTGTGTTTACTGTTTTGTTATGGACTAAGTTTTCAATATTTCTATGGACTAAGATTTCAATAATGTTAGACTTCAATATGCTGAATTATTATGACTTTTTACGATGAAATAATCTCGTGTGGGCCGTGTGGCATGTTTGTACATGTATATGTGTGTGTGTCAATATATATATATATATATATATATATATACATATACACACACACATATAAAAAATATTCCCAAATATATATATATATATATATATATATATATATATTTAATATTTATAAAATAACCCCTATATTTTTAATATTTGCGCGTTTCCCCCGCGTTTCGTGTCCTGTATTTTTGGGAAATGGCGTTTCCGACGTTTCCCGTTTCCCGTTTCCCGTTTCCCGTTTCCCGTTTCCGTGCTACCTAGCTCGCCCATCTTCTTCCCAGTTTCCCATCGATGTACTGCAACGCCTCCCAGGAGTCAGTTTCAATATGGAGATCATCGAACCCATTCTCAGTTGCCCATTTCAGCGCGAAGCAAATTGCCTTAATCTCAGCATCAACCGGCGATTGAGCTAGCAACGGGAAGCTGATAGCCGAAACAAAATGGCCATTCCCGTCACGAATGATTGCTCCACCGCTCGCTTTAACAGATAAGTAGCTCGCATCCACATTCATCTTCCATTTTTTCTGAGTTCTCTCCCACCTAATAAGCTGAAGTTTGAAACCCTTTAGTTTAAAGCCTCTCGGAACTAAATATTCCTCAAAAAGCATATTTCCAATGAAGTTCAGTTTTCCCAGTTTTAAGCTAGCAACCCAATTTTGGATATAGGTTTTAATCTGAAGAATGATTACATCTGGACTCGAGATAGTCCCTCCCGATCCCCATATGTTATGCGCATAAGCCTTCCAGATAACCCAACACATAATTCCTGGCATATTACCTCGAACCACATCCATCAAACTTCTATCTGGCCTAACTGACCTCCAATAATGAAATTTACTATACTCCATACCAGACCTTTGAAAGATGCCAAAAATGCTCAGGAAATAGCTCCACACTTTCCTAACCATAGGCAGTGGCGGAACCAGAACTATTTCGAAGGAGGTGCTGAAAAATAAAGAGAAAAGAAATAAATATACCTTGGATTTTGCGTATGAGAGCAAATATACTCTCCAATTTCAGTTTGACGCAAATGAAAGCATATCCTTATACCACTTAACTATATATATATATAATAATATGCGGTGAGAGTTCAAATAAAAAGTCTTAACATCCAAATGGTTAATTTGATGCATAATAACCCAATTTAATGCATTTTCAAAGAAACCTTAAATTATTTGATGCACTTTTCAAAACTTGAGTCAAATAAGATTTATTTAAAAAGTGCATCAGATAAGATTATTGTGCATCATATACTATTTGTTCAAAATGGTATATATGTTCTTACGCAGCTAGTCCAAATGAAGTTTTTTTGGCCGGAGAACGTGTCCAAATAAGTTAATTGTTCTCTAAATACATACTGTTCAAGAGTTTATTTGAAATTTCTCTAAAAAATATGTGAAGTCTCAAACAAAGTAAATTAACTACTACCAAAATTAAATGCATTCTTTGTACACGTCTTTAAAAAAGTATCAAAACCAAAACATATTATATTTACATACCCTAAATTAGCCATATCATTGGAATCGAATTACACATGAGAATATTTTGTCCTATTATTTCTTTATTATTAGAAGTCACTACGTGGTGTGTATTAAGAATCACCCATGATTTTACAAATTATAAATAATAAAATCATACTATCAATATACATAAATTCACCAATTTACAATCAAATAACAGATAGTCAAGTAGTCCTAGCTTGTGATATGAATGGCCTTATAGGTTTTTTTAAAAGGCGGCCTTATAGGTTACAACGTAACCCTTTATTTTTTATTTTTTATTTACTACTCCGTTATAGTATATATATATATATATATATATATATATATATATATATATATATATATCATTGTTCTAAAAATCTGCCTAATTGGACCGATTAATCGGCCTAGGCGGCCTAGTCGGCCCTAACCGTAGAGGCCTAATCGGCCTAGTCGGCCAAAAAAAATTGGCCTAGTCGGCCGTCTAGGCGCTAGACGCATCTCAACCGCCCAACTAGCGCCTAACAAGTTTTAGAACAATGATATAAATTATTAATAATTAAAATAAAATATACACTCGGTAGCATAATTATTATGGCAGTCCATAAAAAAAGGCAGTACATTGACCGTAGCAAATTAACCAGACACATGCATTAGATGACCATATCACATTAAGTCATTAACCATCCTAATTTCTAAAAATAAAGAAACATAAGCAATTACTACGTAAGTTATATACTCCGTATAAACTATTCATTACCGGTGGGCGTAGCTCAACTGGTAGCAAGGGAGTGCCACAATGGTTAGGTCTCGGGTTCGAATCCCGGCAACTGCGATGAGGGGTTACTATGCTGAAAAATGCATAGGGCTTCTGCAAGTACCGGGAACAGAGCCCCACTCTCTATCTGTCAGATTGTGATTATAGTCCAATTTACATCCTCCCATCGTGCCGTCCGGTCGGTGTTGGGGGGCCCTCAGGGATGGGGTGTCATCCTTTCCGTATAAACTATTCCGTAAAAGTTTAAGGTTCAAGCCACTCAGGCATAATCAGGGTTATGGATATGCACAATTTGGCAATTGGGCCGGCCAAAATGTATCTCTATTAGTACGGATACGGATTACGGAGTTGGTCAATATTCAAAAATCAAAAGTCAGACTGGCATAGCGCATAAGTATTACTCTATGTCGTTTAGTTATACATTGTTGTCGTTTAAGTTATTTTTATTACTTATCAAAGCGGGGTCGTTTCGCTAAATGAGAAAACACACAGACTGCATCTATCGCTCCTTTCTGCAGCCGGGGCGTAGAGAATAGGGTCGGCGAACCAGAGAAGAAGAAGACCGGTACCAGGGGCGCGAAGCAAATAACACATATATATACCTTAACTTTTCCGGCGAAGGGGGGGCGCCGGCACCGGCTCGCCCCCCTCTAGTTCCGCCACTGACCATAGGACAGGTAAAGAAGATGTGTTTCATTGTTTCACAATTTCTTCTACAAAAAGAGCACCTAGAGGGGTTGAGAGTTAAATTAAACCTACCTAGGTTGTCTGCAATAGGTAGAATACCTTTTGAGATTTTCCATTGAAGTAGCTTAATCTTGAGTTCCTGCTTTGTATTCCACATATGAATGTACTTATAAGAACTAAATGAAAGTTCTCTAACTTCTTCAAATGCAGATCTGAAGGAAAAATGCCCATCAATCTCAGCATTCCAAATCAGTTCCCCTGAGGTCCCCAAAGTACACATCTCAGCAGCCTGATTATCAACATAGCAGATTCTTCTCCAAATTGGAGAGTCTGAAATTTTAGGTATCATGTTTCCTGTTCTACTGTATTTTGCTTTCATCAATTGAGTCCACAAAGAATCCTCAGTTTTCCATTTCCACCAAAGTTTAAGAGTGAAAGCCTTTTCAATATCTGTCAATGATCTGATTCCCAATCCCCCTTCATCAGTAGGAAAACAAAGTTTACTCCATTTCAACCAATGATATTTCTTTTTTCCTTGAGAAGACCCCCAGAAAAAAGAAGCCATTTTATTATTGAGCACCTTGATAACTTTTTTGGGCAAATTATCCACAGCAAGAATGTGTAAGGGAATAGAGTTTAGTACATATTTGATAAGCACCAACCTGCCTCCTTGAGAAAGATTTTTTTGCTTCCAGGGGGAAAGCTTATTCTCAAATTGCTGAATAAGACTTCCACAGTAATCAAACCTGTTTATTCCCTTGTGCAAGTTTACCCCAAGATATTTAATTGGAAGAGTAGCCATTTTCATACCCAGGAGATCCTTAATCTTATTTCTTCTTGCAGGGACAGATTTACCACAAATGACAGAACATTTATCCAAATTAACCATCTGTCCTGAAGCCTCCTGATAGATATTAAGAAACTTCTTGAAGTTCAGTAATGACCTAGCATCCCCGTTCATGAAGATTAATAGATCATCCGCAAATCCCAAGTGAGAGATGTTCACTTGTTGACACCCATTCCAGTAAGGTTTAATCCTCCCCTCCATCATCAACTTATTTAACCCTCTTGAAAAAGCCTCTGAGGCTATGATAAACAAGAATGGGGAAAGGGGATCCCCCTGCTTAACACCCCTAGATGGTTTAAAGAAACCATAGGAACCACCATTCACTAAAACAGAAAGGAAAGATGCTTCCAAGTTATTCCTGATTAATTGAACAAATTGCATAGAAAACCCAAATTTAATAAGAACGTCAGACAGGAAAGCCCAGGATACCCTGTCAAAAGCCTTAGCCATGTCCAGTTTAACCAACAAGTTACTTCCCCTAACCTTCTTGTCAATATGATGCACCATCTCCTGAGCAATCAGCACCTGCTCAGATGAATCCCTACCCTCCATAAACCCTGCTTGTTCTTTGGATATTATTTTAGGCAGAATCACCTTCAGTCTTGAAGCAATAACCTTAGTGCAGACCTTGCATATAAAATTGGAAAGGCAAATTGGCCTAAAATCACTGAAAGTTGAAGGTCTATCATTTTTAGGAATTAACACTAAAATAGCACTAGCCATTCCCTTAGGAATAGGGGTCCCCAAGAAGAAATCTTGAACTGCCCTGACCACATCCTGTCCCACAATGTGCCAACATTTTTTAAAAAATTTTCCATTGTACCCATCAGGCCCCGGGGCACTGTTTGGATCTAAACTCCAAACAGCCTGCCTAACTTCTTCCATATCAGGCATTCTAACCAGCATGTTGTTGTCTTCCAGGGCAACTAAGGATGGAATATAGTCCAATATGCCATTGGGAGACCTTTCCATATTCAGAGGCTCAGAGTAAAGAGCAGAGTAGAAATTCACAGCATTTGCACCAATCATTGCAGGAAGTTGAATGACATTACCACTTTGGTCTTTAATCGAGGTAATTGCCTGTTTCCTTCTTCTAACTTGGACAAAGGAATGAAAAAATTTGGTGTTACTGTCTCCTTCCTTCAGCCATTTTATATGAGATTTTTGTTTCCAAAATTTCTTCTCAAGCCTGTACTTATTGATAAGTAAGCTTTTTTTATAAAACCAGTCTTCTCTGTGTTGTTCAGTAGGGTTTTCCTCAAAGACAACTTCAGCTTTCAAGACATCTTCCTCGCATGATTTAATTGCTTCAAAAATATTTCCAAAAGTAGTGGCATTCCAGATTTTGAGTTCCTTTTTCAGATTTTTCAATCTGGAAACCAACCCCCTCATCCCCCCTTGATGACCCACAACTCTCCATTTAGATTCCACTAAATCCAGAAAAGAGGAGTTACTCAGCCACATATTTTGAAATTTGAAACTTTTGGGCATAGAACGTTCAACATTGGAGCATTGAACAAGAACAGGATTATGATCAGATGGTGTTTTATTCAACAGAGAAACTTTAATAGTATCAAAAGTATCTAAGATCTGGCTATTGAACAAAACTCTATCTAACCTCCTCCAAACCCTTCCATTTGCTCTATTACCTGTCCAGGTATATTTTGGCCCTGAGTAAGGAAGATCCACCAGTCTACAAGCCGCAATACAGTCCGCAAAATCATTTACATCATGAACAAGAGGTAATGAATTCCCTTTATGTTCACCATAGCTAGCTATTGCATTAAAATCCCCCACCCCCACCATCCACGGATCCTTCAAATTGGCAGAAAAAGAAGTAAGCCCATCCCACAGCTCCCTCCTTGCCCTGTAGGTATGCCTTCCATAAATACCAGAAATCCAGCCGTTAAAAATGGTACTATTCACCTTGACATGGACAAATTGTTCATGCCAGATTGTATCAGCAATCTCCAATTTAGTAGAATCCCAGAAAACCCAGATTTTGGAATCTAGAGAGTAAATGGCCTTACAATTATTGCATATATAAAATAATAAAAATTAATTCTATTAATAAGTTTAAAAATACAATTAAGAATTATAAAAAAAATTGTCATGTTTGATTATAATTAAACAAAGCTTTATACATTTTTTTGTAAAATTTTCTCATTATCCAAACGGGCTCACAGACTAGGGTTATGTTTGCACTTTGAAATGTAGGTGGAAACTAATGTTTGAATTAAAAGACTATTATCTGAACTAGAGATTATTGTCTAGAATAGAGTTTTGAAATGGTGCATCTAAATTGTTACTTGGATGAGGTAAGTCTATTTGACAAAAAGAGTTAAATAAGCCCTGATTATATGACCTGACCAGATTAGATTAGACAAATCAGACAGAAAATTCGGTCCAATTAAAAACGTTTTTAATGCAGTCCTTCCTTAAATTTAGAACTCTATATACATTAGAGATTAGAATTCAATAAATCTCCGGAAAGTATTCATGAGTTGAATTTGGAGTTAATTATGTTACCTTACTATGGAGTTATATAATCACTATACAAGAAGAAGTGAGATAGATGTACAAAAAGTAATTAGCTTATTATGAACTTAATCATTCATATTTTAAAAGTATTCATGAATTAATTTTTATTTGTCACCAAAAATTGAGATGATGACACATGATTGATTTGTACTAAAATGCAAAAAGAGACTTATAAAAATTATACAGGAAACCTCAAAAGCTAATTTAATAATTTATTGATAACGATTAAATTGAGAAAAATTAATCATAAAAACAATTCATAACCATGAATATGAATTTTATTCATGTATGAATTTATGCACTGAGTTCCACGGCCGGTCCTCTATGATTGAAGACCTAGGAGCGAATAATTAAAATGAGCCAAATCTAAGAAAATGTAAAATCGTTTTATGTCTAAACTAATAACATGCATAATAAATATAATATTTCACTACATTTTAAACAAAAAAATAAAACTATCTTCTGTCTAAACCAATAATATTATAATATTGATTGTTCTTATTTAGGAAAGGAAAAATGGTGGTCCTATTTGTGCACTTTACCCATGCTTTAGTCTTATTTTAAGAAGTTAACTCCTTTATTATCAACTCCTAATTTTCTCCCACCAATGATGTGACCACTCTGAGCCGTTTCATTTTGAGTTATATCATTCTTCTTTTTGAGTTCTCATCTTGAGGAGGACATTCATAAGCTAATTTGACTTCCTTATACAAATTTTTTCATTCAGATTCTTTTAATCATCTGTTTTCTCTTTAATTTTTCCTATCCAGATTCCTTCTATTACACCTTGAAATTAATTAAGTTTATGAATTCAATTAAAGTTAAAACTTTTAATCCAACAAAATCAACAAATTATAACAACAACACTTAATAGATAACAATCAACAATAAAGAAATCAAACAAATAAGTATGAATGAAGTCAATTAATAAATCAACCAAACAATCATATTTGACAAATCTGCTCCCAAGTGGAATTTTATTACAAAATATTGTGAGCTTAATTTTCATCAAATTTAAATTGTATCTACAAAACTTCATCTTTAAATTCAATTGGGAAATCAGTTAAATAAATTATGGAAAAACACTGGACCAAAATATGCATAAAAACACAGTAGTTTTAAATAATTTATTTAATAGATTTCTAGATGGAATTTTAAACTGAAATTTTGTGAACATAATTCCCACTTCATAGAAAACGTTTTCAAAAACTTTCATAAAAAAATTCACCCAGGAGTACCTAAAAATTTTCACCCAATAAATTATTAGTTTAGGCTTCAAAAACCAGTCTACTTACACTTATTACAAAGAACTTACCCAAGGCCTAACTTTTTTCATTGTTTAGGGCCGAGGGCCTTTGCCCCCCTCCCACTAGGGCCACCTCTCCTGAGTTCATTTAATTCAATAAGTCAATGTTTCGAAATAAAGGTATCACCAAAAAAATGTTTCGAAATAAAGGTAAGCTGCGTTTAATAGTTCTAATTCACAAACTTCTCAATGAGATTGTTGAGGTATAATAGAATTCCCTACCCTATGGTATTCATTTTTTAGTTTTAAAACTACACCCATATTGTTTCAATAATATCGCTATACTTGAAAACTCAAACTTTTCATAAATTATTATATGGATCATACTATATATAAGTCTATAACAGAGAATACAAGATTACATGTATAATTTTTTCAGTAACATATCAATTGTGTGTGTGCGCGCGTCGGTGTGTGTACTTTTTTTTTTACTCCAGAGGGGTCTTGGGGAGGGGGCTGGGTGGAGCCTCGAGTAATCAGGGTTGAAACTCACTCCATTGAGTTTCGAACCCTTATGTGCCTAACGGGTTTCGAACTCGAGACCTCCCACTAGGCACAGTAACCTCACAACCAACTGGGTTAGAATGTTTGGTTATTCTTCATACTCAATTATCTTAATTACAAATATTACTGACCTCCGAACCTGCAATACTCGGACATGTACTGTAATACAAATCTTTGATGTTTTCTTAGTATGAATCCGGGTTTCTACTTTTTCAAAAGGCGACGTGCACACGTTGTAGAACTATTTATTGGAAAATATCACATCCTAATAGATCTTAGTGTCTCTTGAAGATATGATTGATGTATATGATAAAACAATAATATTATTTCCAAAACTAATGCATTTAAAACAATTATTTAATTTACGTACTATTGACATGAAAATCAGAAATCTAAAAGTCTTATACGAGACAAAATTCAAAATCCACAACACCAAGAGTCGATTACAATCACTTTGAAGATATCCATTCTATGTGCAATGGTGAACTCTCAGAAGTTGACACAATCCCTTTAAATAAGGGTGTGAAGATTCTATTCTGAATTTTGTATAAAAGTGTGCAATTGAAATGAAAATTTTGAAACTAAAGTGGAAAGAGAACAAAAAAATACTCAATAAGATGGAAGGTTGTAGTAAGTAGAGTGAAAAAAATTAGTACTCTGTAATGATGTAGAAGGTGAAATGGTAGGATGACATAATCGTATGGCTTGGGGAAAAAATAACCCTTTAAATATTATTTAATTCAATATAATAACTACAAGTACTAAATGGAAATGAAAGTGGAACACAAGAGAATAAAAATATTTTAAGCACCCCGAAATCATTTCAATAAAATTGGTTAAAAAATTATAATAACTTCCAAATCATTCCAAAAAGGAGAAAAAAGTGAAACATGATAAAATGAAAGTGCTAAATACTACGTATAAATTTGTCTTAACGCTATCTCAAATTAAGGATATTTTCAATTAAAAAAAATTTGGGGTCTCATTTATGAAAGTTAAAGTTATTTTTAGTTTAGTGTATATATTAGTATAATATTGATATATTTTGGCCGAGAGTTTCAACTCTCATAAAGTTTTATTAATTACATATAACAATCATATCATGACACTAAAAGTGATGTTTAAGAGCTAGATAAATAAGTTAGACTGTATATAAAAAGTAAGTAGTAATTCTTTTACTCATGAATGTAATGTGATACATTATTATTTGATAATGAAAATTGAGATCATTTTTCATTTATGAATATGTGGCATTTTTTTATTTTTCACTGCATAATTTGACATGTCTTTATAAGTTTTGTTCATCTGACCTTCAAGATAAAAATTGTTTATTAAAAGTCTAAACATGCAATTTTTCTTCATTTTAAGAACACTTATTTTATTACCTTCAATAACTTCATCTAATGAAAAATAAATCGATCACTGAAATTCACTGCCAATCACAATATGCAGCCTATGTCACTGTCATCACCTTCATTAAAATCAAAATGTCACGAAATTATATATTCTTACCTCTTTTCTTAAAGAAAGTTACCAAAAGACGACGACAACAACAACAACAATAACAACATCCAAACTTTAATCGTAAAAGATTTTGGGATCGGCTAACACGAATCAATTAATGATACTCTTTTCATTTAGGTAAAAAAATAGATTAATTTCAATGCATGCAACAGAGAGTTATAAAAAATATGCTCTTTTCATTGAAAAATATAGATTGAAAACATGTTTAGATAATTAGTTCAATAATAAGGCATATTCAATAAATTAGAATATGCATTTTAAAAAAAGTTGTAATCGACTAAATAAGTGATTTTTCGTTAGTAAAACTAAACAACAAAATCATTTTTTCCCGTGCACGGCACGGGTAAAGATACTAGTATTCTATATTTAAATCTTGATTGACTAGCTCTATAATCTTACATACATTTGTTTTGAATTGGAATTAACTATGTATCATCAATTTCCGAACTCTTTCTTAATTGTAATATACTCACGTGCTTTGATTTCTACATTAATTAATATAAATATATAATCGAATTCTATATTAATTCATATAAATATGTAATCACAATAGTTTCGTATTTTATTTACTTTTATTTACTTTGATTTTACTCATATTGCATCACTATGCATATAAAAGTTTCAAAGTCTTATTTTGATAAACGTATAACTAACATAACTTATGATGTACAAAGTATATTCCACATAAAATCGTATAAATCAACATTTTAGATCAATATCTAAATAAAGCATAAGGAATAAGAAATATCACAACAAATTAAAACGCCATAATATAAGTAAACAGTACATTTAAGAAGATAAACAATCATTAAAATAAACTCTTAGAATAATTAATCATATACTTTAATTTAGGAGAAGGAATGAACACAAACCTTAAGTTTTAGCAAGATTTTCTCACCTTTTCCTACCGTTTTATTCTCTTCTCCTTTCATCTCTTCTCCTTTCATCTCTTCTCTTAGACGTGTCACTAATTTTTTTCTTGGTCATAACATTGGCCGGCTAACAATAGAGATGTACGTATTTCTCTTCCTTTTCTTTCTTTTTCAACTATATCTTCTTCTCTGTTCACTTTCTTTTACTTGCGAGCAGTCTAAGCTACGTATTGGTTTTTCGTGGGTTTCTCTTATATAAATACACTACGGTGACTACGCCACTGTACCATCTATTCAATTTAGATACTTCCTCCGTTCCTTTTTAATTGCACCAGTCAACATTTCACATTTGTCAACGCACAAGTTTGATCATTAATATCTTTCATTCCTTATTAGTAAAAAATTTTAAAAATTGATATTTTGAAAATTTAGAATGGGAAGAATTTAACAATATTTTTAAAAAAATTATTTATAATACATTAATTAATAAAATATAGTCAAAGTAGAATATGTGAATAGTGTAAAAAGTCCAATGTTGCAATTAAAAGAGGACGGAGGTAGTATTATTTTATTTAGTCATAATAGTGAATAATATTACTCTGCCAATGTATTCTTATGTATTGCATGTATATTTGTTTGGGTATTGGATATATGGTCGGGTGTCATATGCTTGCATATGAAGCATGCAGTTGATGCCATGTCAATTTTGCTATAGGTACTCCAAACCTTACCCCATTTGTACCCCATATAAAAACACACCCCCACTTTTCTTCTTCCCTCTTCCCTCTTTGCTGCACCCCCACCTCTCTTCCTCCCTCCCTCCCTCTCCTCTTTTTCATGCACCCCCCTCCTTTCCCCTTTCTTCTCCATTTCAATATCTTCCCCCTTCTTTAAAACTTCCCTTTTTTATCATCTTCCCCACTTCAACCTTCGACCTTCTCCTGCTTATCTCCTCTTCCACCGGTGACGTTGCCGACGGCGGGCATATGCTGGTTGCCATTTCGGATGCAACCTCAAGAGAAGACAACGACAAAGGCATACCAAGAAGCTTTGAATAACTTGAGCAACAAATATTCTTTTCTTGATTTTGTTTTCTTGATTTTTTATGTATTTTGAAAAAAAAGGAGTTGTCTGTCTGCCAAACAACTTATAAGTGCAGTGTCTGTAAGAGTCGTGAAGTTGTTTGTCCTTTGAAAAATAAATGTCTGTAATTGATATTTAATTGTTTGTCATTTGTTTATTAGTTTTCTGTATTTGTTTTGAGTTGTCTGTAATGACTTGTCTGTTATGTTGTTGTGAGGTGTCTGTAAGGGTCGTGAAAAATAATGTATGTCTTGTTATCTCTACTGTCTGTCTAGTTATATGTATTGTCTGTCTTTTTTATGAAACATATGTCAAAATGGTAATTCACAATAAAGTAATGTCTGTATGTGTATACTTATTGTCTGTATGTGTATATTTAATGTCTGTCTCGTTATACTAATTACATCTCAAAAAATAAACATCACAAATTACATACAGACAATTCAAAACAAATACAGACAACTCAAATCAAATGAAAAAAATTAATCATCAATTACAGACAGATAGACACTGCGCTTACAAGTTGTCTGTCAGACAGACAACTCTTTTAATTTCGAAAACACACCAAAAAATCAAGAGAAGAAGATCTGCTCAAGTCATTCAAAACTTCTTGGTCTGCACCTTCATTGTTGTCTCCTCATGTATCCAACATCATCGGAGCTCTCCCCGTTCGTCCGATTACTGTAGCTCGTGCATTTGAAACGGAAAAAAAGGCGGAAGAGGAGAGAAGCAGGAGAAGAAGCCTGGAGGGGGGAAATATGGAAAAATGGGAAGTATTAATGAAGGAAGAGATCTTGAAATGAGGAAGAAATCAAGATTTGGAGAAAAGAGAAAGAAAGGGGAGGGGATAAGGATGGCAATGGGGGCGGGGCCCCGTGGGGAACCGCCCCGTGGGGGGGAGTTGGGGCGGGTGGTGGGGTGGGGGAGATATTTTCTCCCCGCTTAAATATGGGGCGGGGGATGGGGCGGGTCGAATAGTAGTGGGGGATGGGGCGGGGGTGGGGGCGATTTTTTAGACACGGGGCGGGGGATGGGGGAGTGAACCCCCGCCCCAACCCCTCCCCATTGCCATCCCTAGGAGGGGATGGAGGGCTGCGTGAAAAGAAGGAGAGTGGGTAGGAGGGGAGAAGAAAAGTGGGGGAGGGTGGGGGGAGAGAAGAAAAGTGGGGGAGAGTTTTTATATGGGGTAAAAAATGGGGTAAAAGTGAGGTACCTATAGCAATTTTGATGTACTATTACTACTATACGTGGCTGATTTTCAAAATTGAGAATGACAACTAATTTTTGTTCCAATTAATTTGTGGGTTATTATATTGCCAAGTGTCCAAGAACTTTTGAATTAAAGTGGCGGTTGGGTTTGATTTGTTATGCATGGATATTTGTTTGTTATGCATGGTATAAGATGTGTGATAACACATGTATATAACTTATCTTTTCAAACCTTGACATCTAATGTATTATACGGAGTATATTATATTGACATGCGTCACATGCATTATTTGTGTTTGCATTTGTTAAATCTGGCTATTTCCGGATAATATCATTTTATTTGCCTACTAAATTATCACATTTCATAACCTTTGCTATTTAGTCATACTTTATTTAATCAAGGTTGACTTAGTCTGATTCAATTGTTCTACTTTTTTTTGCCGTAGTTTATTGTAATAAAATTTAAATAGCTAAAACACGTACCAAAAGTATCAATTTTTGAGGATGTTAAATCTTTATATATTTACTTTTACTTTCATGTTGTAAGTAAAAGTGTAAATTTTGAGGATGTTACAAGAACAACCAAGTTCTTAATCATAGACGTTTGTTCATTTCAATTGAATTTCTCATCCAAGTGTAATTTGATCTCAATATAAAAAATATCACTTTTGTCCTTTCATGATTTCTTTACATGAAGTAAAGGTATATTTATTACAATAAAATTTATGGTTGATACAACCATCATGCCATCATATTAATAACACATAATTATACGTACACAATTTATTCATAAATTTGTATATCATGCATCCTCTACTTATAAACAATAATATTTTCATTTAGGCATTATTAACCATTAGTAATCCATGAAAATCACATTTAATTTCCTTAGGAAATCTTATGAAATTAACCCAACAATTATAGGCAATATAGTCGGTCATCCCCACCTCAAATGAGCTTTACACTTTTCCTTCTCAATCCAATGCTCAAGACTTCGGCCAAGAAAGTTTGAGAACTTATTCCTTGCTTATAAATGAGTGTTAAACAGCCCCCTCAAGGTGTTAGCTCAACTCCTAACCGATGATACAAAAACAACCCCTAGGATGGGTGTTTTCCGAAGAAATCATTCCCTAACCTTTCAAGGTTTGTTCTAGGTTAGTATCTAACATATACTTCAATAAAGTAACCTTATAAAGAACATATTATACACTTGAAATAGTGTATAATAGTTATACAAGTCATTCAAATCATATAGATGATGAAAAGGAAGGTTTTGGGTTCAAACTTACTATAAAGAGGAAAAACTATTTCTGCGCGTTTGTGTTTTCCTTTGATGATTTGAAGGCCTTCCACTACTCCGTTTTCTGCAAACCAGATCTTCACGGATTCCTCGTCTTGAGAGATTTCTTTTGGCACCTCACACGTCCTATTTGGACGAGTGTAACTCAAGATATGACTCAAACAAGAAACACTACGCACTGGAAAATAACCATGCGCGGCAGTTTTCTCCCTTCTCTCTTTCTTGGGTTTGTGTGGCTCTCTTATCCTCTAATCACTTTGGGAGTTCGTATGATATGAAGTATGCAGCTCTGGAGTCACTCAAAAGGGTGGATAAGCCTTGTGGTTCACAAGAAAGAAAGGTAGGATGCTTGATTGCAATCAAACATGGGGTGGCAATCAACAGTTTTGTAAGTCAACATGTCCGCCCCATATAGTCATCTCACCCATTTTTCTTTGTCTTGCAGGTACTCAAGTCATGTGGAATGGTTCCCAATTGATCCCAATCAATTTGGGGTCCAAAATATCTACCAATACTTCCAAAAATAGAAAATGAGTCCTATTGTTTTTATCTTTGTCATGAAATGTCTTTCTGTACTCATTCTAATTTATTTAGAACAAGTCAACCTTCTACTTCATATTATTGATCTCCAATATGTGTAGGATCATCCCAATAATTTCTATGATAAAAACTATAGAAGAAAATCCTACTCCCACTATTTAGCTAAATAATGTCAAAGATGGGACCATTGGCATTTGTATTCTTCTCTAATCACTCTATCACTTATTTATGACATTAGTATTTATATTCTTGGGCTACAAGCCGTGTGGGTCACCCTCGAGTGGGCCTAGGACGCCATTCTTGAATACTTACTATTTTTAGCATGTTAGGCCCAAAATAACACTTGAGCTGCCCGACCTTCCTTAGTTTGTATCGAACGGTTATTTATTATTATTTACATACTGTTGGGCTCTTATATCTAATAAGATGTCCCAATTAAGTAATTGAAAGCCCGTTGCTAATATACGAGCTCAAACTGTAAAATGGTCAATCATGCATTACGTAAAACATTAATCGTTTTACAATCGTTTGACAATAGGAAATTCAATACATGAACTTTGAATTTTAAATTGAATTTCAAGGACGTTTGGGTGCGGTGTCACATTTTCAATAATTTATTATGTTTTGTTTAATATTTGAGGTCAAGGGGGGTCCAATTGTTGGAGAAATGCAACAAAAATCGATTTTCGTAAGGTGGGAGCTGCGTGCGGCGTGCGCAATTCAAGCTGGGAACTTTCTCGCATTCCGGAAACGTGCCACGCGCACGGTGCGCACAACATTTTTTTTATCCATTTTGACCCAAATTCGATCTATAAATAGATTCATTTCTCGAATTCCTTTGCTTTAAAAACTTCAAACCCGACTTCTTAGACCACTTTTATTTGATCATTTCATTCCTAAACCATCCAAGATGAATTTTGAGGCCAATAAGGTGCTAATTCAACCAAATCTTTTGGTAAGTGCATTTTTATCGAATTCTTCTCATTTCTTCGTTTTCTCCCATTTCTATCTCCTCGGTTGTAACCCCACAACTATTTATATTCTTAATGTCATGTGTGT